TGCTTATAAATATGTATGATTCCAGACAAAAATACCAGACGGTTGAGTCCGAAGCTTCCAAAACTTCTGAAGTGCTGCGTGAAAGTTTGGGTTCAATCAAGGATAGAGTTCAAGAAACATTAGATGAAGTTAGCAAAACTGAAATAGCCAAAAAAGCTGGTGAGAAGTTTCAGCTGTTTTCAACTAGTTTTGTAAAAATAATATATTAAGAATTTGTTCTAGTGAGACAAGTGACAACTTCAACCCCATAGACATTCAAAGTCAATTTAAAGAATCTGTATCAGTATCCATAACCAAAACTTAGTATAGGTAGCCTTCAATAGTTCTTTGTCCACTGTAGTTACAACTTTGACTAGTAATACAACTAGACATTCCATCCCCCTAAGTTGTCGCCAGTTTTTTAAATCAAAATCGTCGTAGTTGATGTAAGCGACGGATTGCGCTGATCCAAATCACCAATTTCTGTCGAATACGCAGACATTTTAAAAGTTAAACTAATCTAATGACTTATTGTGAGCTATTAGCAACTAACTGTTATAACCCATACAATAAATGTTCAGATACAATAAATAAGGTAGAAAATAGAATTTTAGGTCCTAGAGCATTCTGTGACTGTGTCACATAACCAACTATGTCATTTTTCTTAAATAACAAATTTGCGACAGCTGTTCCATATAGATGGGAGATCTACTTCAGTAGGCTATCCAAAAGTTACAAAAACTTTGAGTTCACCATGTCTGTTTGAGACTTAATGAATGTGAGACTGGGCTATATTGACTTCTCACAAACATCTATCCCTTTTCATTGATCTCTAGTAAGATAGGACAAGATATATGCTTCAAAATAAAATAATTAATTTTCCATTGTTGTGGTAGGTTTAATTTATTTGTTTATATAAAACATTCTTGTTTGCCGGTTTTACTCTGAGCGGTTTCAAAAAATCTTCTCTGAGCTATTGTTTCAAGAAATTTGTTCAAATTTTGTTCTTTAAACTTGGTTAAAATATGTTTTTTAAGCCTTAAAACATGAAAATACCCAATTTTATAAAAACTATTGTGTAGAGATGAAATTTACAAAAATAATTTTTACATTTTACATTGAAGCATTGCTGTACAGTTGGGTTACGGAGAAAATTACTAAAACTGTACATTCCCTTGTTATTCCACAGCTTACTTTTATTTTGATCACATCTAGCAAAATTTTTTTAGGCTATCCTATGCTATTTACATTGGTACAAAAAAAATTGTCCCTTCCCCAAAGCAAACCTAAGCACTCGTTAGATCTAGGCTAATGTTAATTAAGTATAAGTAGGGAATATATCTGTTTCTGGAAATATTTGAGTACAAATTCAGTCATACTAATTGAAATTAACCTGTTTTGCAGGTTTGCTGCAGCTGGGTTGTTATTACCAACAATTTTCATTAAACTTATGAAACATACTATAACAAAAGTGAACATTACACAGTTGCCTGAAAGTGAACTATGTTTCAGGGCAAATCAGAGAAGAAATTGGAAAAACAGCAAAGGGAGCTGCTGAGTCAATATCTGAAAGCGGCCAAAAACTGGGGAAATCAGGAGCTTTCCAAACGATAAGTCAAACTGCTGCTGCCGTTAAACAGGAGCTTGATACGACAGGCATGCAGGCTTACGTCTACAGGACTCCAGTGAAGTTGAGGATGAGAAAAGATGTCAGCGAACTGCAAGACAACAAGACTGTGGAAGCCAACACAGATGCCACCGGAGTAGAGCTTCACAAAGATTCTAAATTCTATGAAAGTTGGCAGAATTTCAAAGACAATAACCCTTATGTGAACAAAGTGTTGGACTGGAAGATAAAGTATGACGAGAGTGACAATCCGGTCATAAGGGCAACGAGACTTTTCACCGATAAAGTGACAGATGTTATGGGAGGATTGTTTCAGAAAACAGAGCTTTCGGAAACGTTAACGGAAATATGTAAACTAGATCCTAATTTTGACAAGTCTGAGTTTCTCAGGGAATGTGAGACCGATATAATCCCAAATATTTTAGAAGCTATGATTCGAGGCGAGTTGGACATTTTAAAGGACTGGTGTCACGAAGGAGCGTACAATGTTCTGTCCACTCCTCTCAGGCAAGCAAAACAACTCGGGTACAAATTTGCTTCTAAAGTGTTAGATATCGATAATGTTGACTTGTATATGGGCAAAGTTATGGATCAGGGACCTATCCTGGTGATAACGTTTACCTCTCAGCAAATTCTTTGTGTCAAAGACTCTAAAGGAAATGTCATTGAGGGTGACCCGGATAAAATCCTCAGGGTGAATTATACTTGGGTTCTATGTAGGGACAAGACTGAGTTGAATCCTAAGGCTGCTTGGAGGCTACTCGAGTTTGCTGCACAAAGTTCAGAACAGTTAGTTTAAAATTATCATTGATACAATTATTTTTATATCTTTGTTTTAGAAGATTTCTTGACATCTATCCAAAACATAATTTCTGTTTAGAAAATCTCAGTCTTAGCACCCTGTATTATAATTGTTTATTATATGTAAAAATATATATATAGACTGTTAGTTATAGCTGAGTTGTGATTTGTCCCTAGATTTTACAAGATGAACTGTTTTTTTGCATCGATTAATATTTCTGTTTCAATAAAAATTAGTATTCATTTACTGTTCATTCCCATTTTGTTCTGTAATTTTTATACCTACTTTTTGTTTTATTTATTTTTTTGTAAGGACAGATCAAAACTCTAAATGGTGCCCCTTATAAAAAGGGACACCATTGAGATTCTTGTCATTCGCCTTTATTGGGTCTTGATAATGTTTGTAGTGTCCAATCGAAAAGGATCACCACTTACCGACCTTTATGTATCTACTGTCTTGTGAGTAAACAGTATAAGTGTAAATATATTATTACAAGTGTTTTTCGAAGATTTTAGGTAATTGTTTATTGTGTTAATGTTACACTAGAATTCGACTCAAATGTGCAATGTCAGCTTTCTAGTTCTTTGAGGGGAACATCTTAAAATATTTTGAACAATTTGAGCCAGTCTTATACACCTTCCTTTAAAATCAATTGGTATAAAAGATGAATGTGGATGAGTAAATTGCGTAGTGAGTGCATTTTTTGTAATAGAAGAAGTAGTGGAGAATGCTAAGTTAAAGGAAGTTTTGGAATCACTATATAAATAGTAAGAGAATTAGTGGTGAATTCCGCACTATAGTTCATGGAAGATTATGTTTTTTTTTTTAATACTTAAGGATGACTCACAAGTTTGAAACTGTATTGCTGATGCTGGAAGCAGAATTATCTACAGAGGATGGTAGAACGCTCAAAATGTCGTAACGAACGTCCGAGTCCCGCGCATACTGGATTGGTCAGACGGATCCGCCCACGAAAGTGTCCTGGGGTTCATGTTCCAGACTTTCTATCGGACATCCGGGACATCCCGAAGGTGCGGAACGCCATTGACTGCAGTGGGCGCATGTTCATTTAATTCAATGTTTTTAACTTCTGAAAAACCCCGTACCGTACCGACCCAGTGGACGGGCAGCTTAATGGGGAGTATGTTATTTTATCTATACCCCAGCACAAGGAGACTTATCATCCACAGTGGATGATAGAGAAGTCTACTTGTGTTGGGCCACGGCCGCCTTTAACTCCTGGCCCCAGGCCACGGCCTTTAAAGTGGCAACACTGGCAACATTGTCAGTAGTGCTGTTACAGATGTTTAGTTTGGTGGCAGCTAATGCGAATTTGTGTATTTCTTAAGAATGTGAAAGCTTTGGTTCCTGGGCTATGAAAATATTGACTCCATTTGAAATATACAGAAATAAGTTTCAAATTTATATTGTTTTGGCTAAGAACAACACCCTAGTTCAGTCCTAATGAATGATCCGACTGAGTGAGAGATCAACATATTTATATGTGTGTGTTTTTAGTTCTCTTTGGTATTGGATTTCTGGAACTGGATTGACCTGACTCGGAATTGACTAAAGCCCCCCACACACTACCAGACCAGACCTCCAGTCTCCAGACCAGACCGTCTGGTCTGGCGTCTGGCACTTGTCTTATCGTGTGTGGGGCTGTCTGCAGACCGATTTTCTCGGACCAGACTGTCTGCGTGTCTGATGGTTGAACCCTCAGACCACAGACGGTCTGAGGTTCCCCCACCATTATTTTTGTCTGGTCTGTGAGTGTGTAGCGCTGTCTGTCAGACGGCCGACCATCGTGACAATCTTCATCCATTTGTTGGAGTTCTCACCACGGTCTCTCAATTACGAATTAGGACCGTCTGGTCTGGGAGTGTGTAGAGCCGTCCAAGACGGTCTGGTTGCAGCCAGACGGTCTGGTCTGGAGGTCTGGTCTGGTAGTGTGTGGGGGGCTTAAGCCCCCGTAAATAGCTTAAGCCCCCCACACACTACCAGACCAGACCTCCAGACCACTTTGGCAATGAAGGTTTACTAATCGCAAAAATAGTTCTGTTCATAAAATAAAATTATAAATGCCTCAAATTCAATTTTATTATTTTTTAATTATAAAATTAAACTATCATAACCTAACCGAACTAACCAAACTTGCTGATAATGAAATAATATAACAACAGTTTAGTAATAGAAAAAAAAAATTCTGTTTAGGCCTATTAAATAAAATTAGAAATTACTCAATTGAAATTTTAATGACTTAATAATAAAATTAAACTGTCATAACCGAACCAAACCAACCAAACTTGCTGATAATAAAAAAATCGTGGACAAAAAGTTAATGTTATCAACGGGATTGGAACCCGGGACCTTCGGCATATCAGCCAGGCACGTTGACCACTAAACCACCAAGGCCGACGGCTACAGATGGTTTTGTCACGGTAATGGCGTTCACTCAGCTAATAAGAAACCCACAGCTGTCATCGTAGCCTCTTCTATACCTCCCCTGAGTAAATACCAAATACTGTCTGGTTTTCTGTCCGTCTGTCTGCTGTCATTGCTGTCAAATGACTCAAATGAAATGTCAATCAATGGCGGGCCAATCTCTATTCACTCATGAAATAAGGGACTCAATTTTTCATTAATGTTTTCTGCTGTTGTAAATTGATTATTAGTAGGCTTTAAAAATTACCTGATTGTTCGTTGCAATTTCAATTTCAATCGAATAGCCTACTAAGTACTAACGCCTATGAACCGGTTTACATTCATTTCTTGACGCAGTTATTGTTGTAGGTTAGCTCACTTATTTTCTTTACCAATATTATCAATTAGGATGTTTGTTTATAATGGTTACAATTTAATTGACAAATAGTTAAATCGCAGCCTGTAACTAATTTTTATGGTTTCACTTAAAACCATCAAAAGCAAATATAATGTCACTAAAATATTGTTCTACAGGATAAATTGAGTTAGTTCCAAGGCCTAGTTGACCAAACAAGATCAATTTCAGTTCTGTCATTTTGCAATAACTTAAACTAGGCTTAGCACTAGCAATTAAATCCACGTTTGCCAAGTAAACTTAATCACTTTTGAAATGTAACTTACCTCATAAGAAAATTGCACTGCCTTTTCAAATTACTTATAGACCTACCGGTACAGAGAACTTAGGCCTATGTGTAATTTATTAGAGTTGAAACAGTCAGGGTTCATTATAGTAGCAAGGCGTAGTTCACAAGTTTCCTTTAATCTCATTCTCACTAAATTAAGCTATTTTTCATGGTTTGTCAAGCTAGAACCCAATTTATAATTGTGGTTGGATTACTCTGGGAAGTCTGTAAGCTAGCCTTCCTGCAGTTGGCCCGGAGCTGCTGCATCTGGTGCCGACCTTTTCTCAATCCCTATTTATTACTCCTAGAAATCCTTGCATACTGTAGACCATTTTAGACAGTTAAGGGGAAGATTTTCTGGGTTCTTTTTTACCTACCGTAAATCAGAAACTGCTGGTTGTTTGTTCAAAGTTAGGGTGAGGTGGAGGGGATCGTGTGGCTTTGGTTCAAACCGCCTAAACTTTGTGAACAGAATATAGTAACCTACTGTATTTAACTTAGTAGATTATTCTCAGACTTTGAGTTGTTACCTTTTTAAATTAATTTCAGGTAGAAAGGTGTGTTTAAAGGTTGCCAGATGGCTACCGAAAAGAACAGACGGAGCACTGCTGCGCAGTACTTTATGGATGACGAAGAGGATGAAAGGAATCCTAAAACAACAAGTCAAAGGGTGAGTTTGGCTACTTAAAAAATTGTAACAGGTAATTTTTATGTAGGTTTGAATATCGGGTAATTATTTATCCTATTTACACTGGGATTTGATGTAATTTTGATATGCCTACTTACAGTAGGCCTATTTTTAACGCTGAATCCAAAAATGCAATCAGTTTTGGTCGGAGAGATTCCTAAGTGGCCGCAGTGCCGGATTTAAGGTACCTGAGGCCCTAGGCCCAATTACTCGAGAGGCCCCCAACCCAGTCGTGGAAATTCCGTGTGATCGCGGAAAAAAAACTCGGGAACATCGAAAACTGTAAGATGAAAGGTTAACTGTAAGAAAGGACCACGAGGTCCTAAGTTCACTTCAATAAAGAAGGATTTTCATTTCATTTCAACGTCTACCATGGATTCCAATCACGGGGACATCATCATTGACACCCGCGACTGCGGCAATTCGTGAACATCTTTTTCTGTTGGTCACAATTACGGGGACATCATCATTGACACCCACGACCGCGGTAAACTTTTGAACATCTCCCATGGGCCGCGATCACGGGGACATCATAATCGAAACCAGTGACTTCGGCAAAATTCGTAAACATCTGTTGGTCACAACATCAACGGGGATATCATCGTCAACACCCACGACCGCGGCAAAACTGTGAACATCTCCTATGAGCTTAAACCACAGGGACATCATCATTGTCACCAGTGACTGCGGCAAAATCAAATCGTAAACATCTGTTGGTCATGGGGATATCATCATTGACAACCACGACCACGGTAAAATCGTGACATCTCCCGTGGGCCGCAATCACGTGGACATCATCTTCTACACCAGCGACCGCGGCAAAATCCTGAAAATATCCTGTGAGCCGAAATCACAGGGACATCGTCATCGTTGTCACCAGAGGCCACGGAAAAATCGTGACCATCTCCTGTTGGTCACAATCACGGTGATATCAACATCGACACCTATGACCACAGCAAAATCGTTAACATTTCCCGTGGGCTGCAATCACAGGGACAACATAATCAACAAATGGAACCTGTGGGACCGTGGCAAAATAGTGAACATCTACCATGGGCCACGATCGTGAGGCCATCATCATCGACTCCCGCGACCGCTATAAAATCGCGAATTCTGTTGTGGGCAGTGATCATCGTTGTCACTTGCAATCGCAAATAGTTGATCAAAAATTTTTTTATAGAATTTTGTTTTGTCAATTCTTTGCGGCCCCCTTTTGCTTGCGGCCCTAGGCCACGGCCTAGTCGGCCTAGTGGTAAATCCGGCACTGAGTGGCCGTACAGTTATATAATTAATATGAAGCTTCAGTTTTGTTGATTTATTAACATATTTGTGGTATGGACGAGTCCAAGTTCTAATGGCGACTAACACTAAAAGGGGTGGAAGGTTTGTGGAGTGGAAACAGCTGTCAGTTGTTTACATTCTAGATACTAAACAGACAAAACCACAGGCGACGCCATGAGAGCAAAATCAGAGTTACAATATGCAATAACTAGATTTGAAAAAGAAAATGGACTTTGGTGCTGTTTATAAAGTGCTGCGCATTTTTGATATCCTTATTTCATTGTGTTTCACCCACTATTTCAATTGTGCAAAACCAGTCTGGAAGTTGCATAAATTAATGAGTCGGTTCATTATAACCTAACCTTTACCTTCCTAACCTAACCTCACTTCAAAACACTTAATACAGTCACGAATCCACTTAAAACCCGACCTACCTTCCTCACATGCCTAAATAAGAACTGATTATTTGGTTTGGTTTCAAAACGAATTGATTTGATTTCATTCCGCATTAGATCAAGTACAAACAGTTGTTTGCTCTTCTCACTCAGTCCTCACTCCTCACTCTTCACTCAGTACGGACCCGTCCAGACCACGCCATATTACCATCACCTTCAGTACCGCTCAATTATCCTTAGATTTGTAATTCTAACCTTCGTTTTACGGCCACTACGGCCGCTTAGGAATCTCTCCGACAAAAACTGATTGCATTTTTTGATTCAGCGTTAAAAATAGGCCTACTGTAAGTAGACATATAAAAATTACATCATATCCCCGTGTGAATACGGTAAATATTTGCCGAATATCGATATATAGGCCTAGGGATTATAGTTCGGTTCGATATATTAGGTATCGCATATGTTTACCAACGTAACATCGAATTGAGTTACAATCTGTTTAAATTTACGTTGTTTATGCTTTGTTTTAGTAAACTATTAATAATTTATTTTTGGGTTTCCTTTTTTTTTGCACCACCCGGTATAAGTTAGGCCTCTTGACGTTTAATCCGATAGGCTAATATATCGCAGATTCTCTGCGGAACTCTATCCTAAATATTTAGTAGCCCCTACTCCATTGAGGTGGATCTGGTGTGTACCTACCCAAAGGAGGGTTTGAGGTTAGAACTCCCTGTTTGCCCTAGATAAAAATGTTGGAACACATGTAAACTCAAGCAAACAAATTTTCCAACAAAATGGGCAAATAAAATGCCGGTAAGCAGCCTAAGGCTAGAGCAGTGCAAGAGAACTCTGGAGAGTAATTTCCCTAAGTCACCTTGTATGCGACCATTAACGAACGCTCCTATCCTGGTGATAAATCCAGAGTTGTGCAGGTCTGCCTTTTCGGCCGCAGGTTTTTTTTAAGATTAAAGGTTCAAAAGGTAAAAAAACAAAATACCTATAAAATTCTATTATTTAAACTGATGTTACTCACAGAATGACTTAAGGCCTATTTTTAATAGGCCCTAAACTAAAATAGAGTCTGAAATTTTTTTTGAATTTTGGCAAGTTTCTTAAACATTTTTAATTAGCCTAAAATTAAAATCATCTTAGCATAACGTCCTATTGCTTAGTTTTTTATCTCTCTTTCTGTACTTCATGTCGACGCCAGAGACAATGTATATAGTGTTCTCAAATATTACTTTTAGGGAAAGTGGTCCGAACCCATATTTTGGATGTGCAGGAATTGAACCCGTCCCTCCTGCACTGGAGTCCAATACGCTAACCACGAGGCTAGCAACACACCCTGTTGCCTAATTAACTGTTGCCCATAGACTCTTAAAATTTATAGTAGAGATCCCATATCTTGTACCAGCGTCACAATTTTTTATGAAATAAGAACGTACCGGTACGTAGTTGAATGAGCCATTTACATTGGCATAGTGCCTAAAATTCTTTTTTATCTAATTTTTTTGTTGCAGAGTTAATTAATGTGACATATAAAATTCCATAGACCTAGTTTACAATATCCAACCAGTTTTACTTAAAAAGATTTTGTCTTCGACGCAAATCATAGCCTTCTCCAATATAAGGCCGTGGTGAGACAAAAGTGGCAACACTGCTGTAAATCTTAAAAGCTGTTGCATTAATTTTTAATGGAACATATAAGCAATGTTTATGATTAGGCTACACTTTTGTTATTACAGTACTATTATTAAGTTACCATGGGATTTGCATTCCGATGCGACGTTGCCAAACACCAAAGCCGTGTCCTTGTACTAAACTATGTCTATAAAGAATAAAAAAACAACTTGTTCCATTTTTATTAGGGGAAGAAATGCCTAGTTTTATCTGTTGTCAAAGTCGAGAAAACCACAAAAAAGGTGCACATTCTAACAACGGTACTAGGCCTATATTTACCGTTAAATTGTCAGTGGAATTAATGACTTGTTTTAGGTTGTTGACTGGCTGAATGAAGCAAGCTTAACAGCAGCTAGCAATAAAGTAGAGCTGTTGAGCAAGGTACAAGAGGCCATAGTACACAAAGAATCTGCACTGTTAGACAACTTCCTTGATGAAATGTTAGCTTTTCAGTCTGACAGAAATTCCGATGTCAGAAAATTCATTGTTGGATTCATCGAAGAAGCAAGGTAAGCTTGTTAAATTATTGAGTTTGGTTGAAAGGATTTGTTGCTCAAATATAGGCTACCGGTATAGGAAATATATGTGAAATCTAAATAAAACTTTTTGACTCTTTCTAGTTTGATTACATATTTCAGCACGAGCTTCAGGTTCAAGTCTTTGTAGCATTCTTATCCATTAATCACTCAATAGGAAAAGTTAGAAAGACAATTTGTTTCCAAAATTAATATTTCTTAACCGTGTTATAGTTTTCATCCTTAATAGTTAAGCTTCAAGGCCAGGAAGTAGGCGTTAAGGGTACAAGCATGATAGTTCTTGTGCAAGGATTTTTTATGCCGGTACTTTAAATGCCTTTCCTGATGAATTGCTTACGATATAAATACCATCTATTAACTTGTTTTTTGCCACACTACCAGCAAAAAATATACAGGGTAGGTAATTAAAACACAACCTATGGCTACATCCAAACACAACGATGTGTAGCTTCGTTGAGAGCCTACTGAAGATACTTTTACTACACCTTTTTGAAAAAAACTTTCATGTGCGTGTGAGAGTGTTTGGACAAAATTACTGACCCCAGCTGACTTTACTCGTCCCTTTCTGTAAACAACAACTTTCTTGTCATTAAAGATTACAGAAACCAGTGTCTTCCTGTGTAGGGTAAAAAATTATTCAATATAAAATTAATTAATTAATATAAAAAAAATAATTTAAAATAAAAATTAATTTAATATAAAATTATTTAACAAAGTTTTTGTAGGCTAAATAACCTTATAGGAACTAATGCTTAAAATGTTTGAGTAGAAAGTATCTAATTCAAATTTCTTTTAACTTGCCTAACTGCTTTATTTCAATATTAAACATAATGCGATTCAGTTAAAGTACAGGGTGGCACAGAAAAACGGGTAATTTTGAAATAATCATAATAAATTAAGAAAATTGTAAAAAATAATCTTTAATGGTGAAAATGTGTTGGTCAAGTGTAGAAAATAAATAAGAAATGTTTGAAATAGGAATAAAGTTAAAAATAACATTTTAAAAATCGCTTCAGTAAAGGGCTGTCGTTTGGGCCTATTTGTTCAATTGAATTTGAAGAATGTGGCAAATCGAATGTCAACAGGCCTATTCGCACTTTATCGATTATCAAAATTTTGTAAACTTGAATCGCTAAAATTGGTTTATTTTGCTCATATTCACTCACATTTATCCTTTGGTATAAGTATTTATGGAGGAACATCACAAGCTAATTTAGACAGAATTTTAATTCTCCAGAAAAGTGCCATACGCATTATGTTAAATTTGGATTGGCAAGATTCTGTTTGGGAAAAATTTGAAGAACTAGGCATAATGTCTGTATATAGCTATTATATCTATCAATGTATATTATATACTGTCCAAAATTAAAATAATGTCTCACTGGTAGGGGATTCTCATCAATACTGTACCAGAAACAGAAATAACTATGCAACACCTTCACATGGATTAAGATTTTTTGAAAAAAAAACAATACAATGCTCTTCCAACAAAACTAAAGGACTATACAAGGACTACAAAATTTAAAAATAATCTAAAAATTTACTTTTAACCAATCCCCTGTACTCAAAAAATGAATATTTCCTCCTACATAATATATTAGAATAAGAACTTTTTCAATAATGATTATATCTTGTACTTTTTTAGATGCATTATGATTTTGATCCAATGTAATGACGCCATTCGTGCACATGTTTCAAAGTATGAATAAAGTTGATTTCATTTCATTTCAAAGACTTAGCATTATGCGACGCAATGTGTCCTCTGGGATTTTGGCGACACGTTCTTCGATCTGAGTCTTGAGCTCAATAAGATTTCTTGGCCTAGTCAGGTACACAACGCTCATTAGATGTCCCCGTAGAAAGAAGTCGCACACTGAGAGGTCTGGAGACCTTGGAGGCCAAATAGCGTTAGCATTCCTTGAAATGATGCGCTCCCCAAACAAACGTCTGCATGCAGCCATTGACAGATTGGCAGTGTGTGAGGCCTCCATCTTGTTGAAACCAGGTTTGCTGAATTTCAATATCTGGAAAAGCGTGAGGCCGTGGAGAAAAAAATGTCTCCAGCATATGAATGTAACGTTGAAATGTGACAGTTACAGTGGGACCATCTTCATCCTCAAAAAAGTAAGGTCCAATCACACCACAACAAGACACTGCACACCACACAGTAACTTTGGGACTGTGTAACGGACGTTGATGAAGTTCAGTGGGATTTCGTTGAGCCCAGTAACGCATGTTCTGCTTATTGACATGTCCATTTAAATTAAAGTGACAGACATCCAAACATTTGCAGCTGTTGCACTGTCACCATTTTTGTAGTACGCTCTCACGGCGACTGCACGCTCCGCACCACTCCACTGCTCCTTCTCAACTAAATGTCCATTACTACTTGGCGTCATGACTTCCGTTTCTCATTCCTACAAGACATATAGGTGTACCAATAACGACTTCAAAATTTCCCGTTTCTCTGCGTCACCCTGTATAAAAATTGAAATACAATATTAACATAAGTACTTATATTTAACCAATTGACCTAAAAATGATAATCTGTTTTTTTAGTAAAAAAGACTCTGATCTTCTACCAAGAGTGTTGCCGAGCTTACAAATGCTTTTGGCAGATTCAAGCGCCCAGGTTCAGAAGAGGGTAATACAAGCATTTAACATTGTTTACCGGAATGTTCTTGCTTGGGTGGCAAAAGCTACAACAGTGAGCGATGATATGAACTTGGTGTGGAGCATCCAGTCCAACATTAAAAAGATGATTATTGATATGGTTGACAGTGAGAATGACGGGTAAGTTTGTCTTTAACATCGTATCATGCATGATTGAAGTAGGCTGTAATTTATTTTTCCCTTCTTTGTGTAACTGTCCAGCTCGAGTGGTGTAAGGGACAAATTAATAACTGGTGGTTGGGAGCTTGAATTAATTTATTACAACACTAGATCACACACGGCAGAAACATTGATTAAATATGTCAATCGGGGTTCACAAACTAATCACAATGTTTAGATTTACGATCTGGTTATGATAATACAAAAATTTACATTGTTTAAAATAGGCGAGTGGACGGACGAGCTACCGCGTAATTAACACTTCAACATCTCACGCGCAACTAGTCAAAAATCGACGCAATGCTGAAAGCCTGCGGTGTCTCAGCCAATCATTTATTTGACAATTCAATTATTTTACATAGGTCTATATACAGAAATTTAATTTTAGCAGGTTAATTCGTCCGATAATGTTGAAGTAAAACTTATCCCATCGTAACCAACCCAAAACTGCATTATTATGGTTGTATAACCGCCGTAGCGCGCTGTATAAGGGTGGTCTCTGGATAATACCAAAGTACCAAGCCAAGAATATATCCTATAGTGATGAAACTATGGAGTTATATTAAAATTTAATATTTGTGAAGCCCCAGTTATTGTATTTCACCAAATATATTCATCTGTTTTGTTTTGTGCCAATAGGCCTAGATATACCAACATTTTTAGACTACACCCAACCCAAAAGCTCAGTTTCAAGATAGCCTACTTTTAAATTCCTTACTACTTAACTTATATCTAATTATAAGTTAGTTACCGGTATTTGCTAATTTAACCTAATAAATATTGTTTCAAATTTAATCTAGGGTAACTTAATGTACAATTTTATTATCTTGTAATTTTTTTTAGGATCCGTACCCATTCAGTAAAATTTTTGGAAACATTGGTTCTGCTACAAACATATCCTGAAGCTGACAGTTTGCGTAGAGAAAATGATTTTTCACTGGAAGATATCCCAATGGGATTGAAGATTGCAAGAAGAAGAAAGCTTGAAGAAGAAGCACTGTAAGTACTAGAATAAGAATAAGAATAAGAATAAGAAAGTTTATTGCCATTGACCAAGTTGTACATAGGAATAGGCATTGTCAAATTACATTAAATAAAATATTACTAAACATGTTCATATCTATAGGTAACAAAGATTGAGAATAATGATTGAGAGTTCTTGATTTACAGGATGAATGATTTGGCTTTAATTTTATAATTCATGAAGTCCTTAACTGAGTAAAATGGGTTAGCTACAAGCCAGTTATGAATTTTTGTACTAAGGAAACATATTAATCAGTAGTGTAATAGAAGTTTTCAATTAAGCTCAAAATTAATTTCCATGTTTGATTTGTTATGAAACCTCTATAAAATTTACAGAAAAGTGAACCTTATTATAATGATAAACCTGAACATTAAGTCAAGCCTAATACTACGTAAACAAGCAAAATATCTTACATTTTAATGAAAAAACACCAAATAACCAAAGATTTAAAATGAGGGCCCTTGTGAGCCTACAAATAAAGAACAAGTAAAAAGGTTGAAAAATCTTTTTAATTTTCATGTATTTTAAACCAACGATTATAAAAGCACATTTTAGTTGGACAATTTAACCATAAAACATTATACTGGCTGCTAAATCAGTTATGGTTGTGTCCAACCAACGTTGTAAATTCCAATTCAATCACTCAGCATGTCTCTGAGCAGGGTTTGTAATAATGTGTATGTGGTTGCCATGTTTTGAAGTATGGAGTCAGCCAGTTACACGATTTACTGCTTTCTTTGCTGCTTCTATAATTTTGCCCCCCACATCAGACATTGCTGCTTGATACTCTGATCTTTTTGAAATTTGTGAAATTGCAGTAAAAACAGGTCTTGAAATCTGAAACCAAAACATACGCTTGTTTAAAATTGTTTGTAGTTTTCACAGCTGTTAAAACTCAAAATTGTCACTATTTGCATGTTGCCTGGAGTAATTCACATGATAATTTGTAATTTTTATATCAATTCAATTCTTTTAGACAGTGATGCACACTTCTGTGTCAGTTTTAAACTGAATATGAATGAAGAGTGATTGTAAAATGGAGTGAGGTGATCTGTGTAGCTTTGTTACTGACTAAGACCAGCTGTCTCATTAACTTTATGCTCAACGGCCAAGGACAGCTTTTGGGTCCAGTTTTAAACCATCAAAAAGCATCCCATAAAGTCCTAATTTTGAAGATTCTTTTGGGATAGTAGTCTTGCCCCAATGGGAAAGGGTCAGCTCTGGCACAAGGAACAATAATGTACACTTCACACTAAATATCTCACTGTCACAGACCGAATTTTCAACCAAGGATGGTTCGAGTTGCTCATCGATCATTGTATCTAAATATGCATATTTCCTTCTAACTCAAACCTTTTTAGTTGAAAATGCTGTGAGTGACTGCAAAATATTCTCACATTTGTATGTAGCATAAATTTGTGTTTCTTGTGCCAGCATGAACTCTTTCATTCAGGAAAATCTGCAATACTAGTAAAAACCCTCATAATAATCCTTATGAGACAGTGTTATCAAATTCTTTTACCCCATGTCTTTAGCTTTTATCATCTTTTGGTCAAAATATAATGAAGAAAAATAAAAAACACTGTTAGATAAGGTATAATGCCTATGTGGTGAAAAACCCCTGTTTGTGAAGATTTTGTTGGCTTCATTCACTTTTATATCCTGTCTGGTGATATCCACATCCAGGACTCATCATGTACATTTAGATACATACACATAAGCTTCGTTAGTCATTCAGCTGATAGTTGTTCAGTGGGAACAACCCACAAAAATCAAGTCTACCTATCCTGAAGAAACGGGGCGTTTTTCTGGTTCCGTTACACATCGGACTTAATCCCCGGGACGATAGTGTGTAATATGTGTGTGAGTCTAACTGTATATGACGAGTACTGCATATCACTAGACAATAATAAAGGTGAGTGAAGCCCACACAATTTTTACAAACGAATTATACCTTGCCTAAAAGTATGTCATTTAAAAATATAAAAAACCTATACATAATAATCCAGAAAACATGAATATGCGTTTATAGATTAACAATATGTTGTTTCTATGGACAAAGCTATCCAAGGTATCTCACTTATTATTACACACTTATCTATTAGTCATATTAGGTGGAGAAGGTGTCACAGGTTATTTGGGTTATTTAGGTCGCAGAAGGTGGAGTTGTGACAGTAGTGTGAAAACCATAATAAAGCAATACTATTGGGAATTGACATACTATTTGTTTCTAAAAGTGGTTAAACAGCCTTAATAAATAATCTGCAACAGAAGTTTAAAATTTAAAATATATATAATAATAAATTCTAAAGTTTGTATTAGGTTTGTGTGACCTAAGTAGGCCGTAAAATGTTTCTATGTACTCACTGGAGAAGAAACTGATGTTAAGAAACTGGCTATTAATAAAATACATTGCCAGAAGGTAAACTTCATTTTAGCTTGATTTCAAACTACTGAAGATTTTAGTGTGTTTTTGCTCAATGTTTGTGAGTTAACTGATAATGTGTGTCATAAATTATGTTAATTAACCTGTCAAGTATGGAACGTCAGGTGTAAAATACAACACAGCTGTCTTGGGTGATAATTAATATAACGTAAATTATTTTTGTAAGGTAATCTTTTGTAGTTTTTAGAGAATGTTTAATAGTTTACATAGAGAATAAAAACCCCTTGTCGAGTATTGTTACAGTTTCAATAAGCTGAAATAGTAATACATAATCTTAAAATGGTACTGTACACCCCAATTTGTTGTTGTTCCAAGCAACTGGACCTTATGGTACAACCTACAATTTTAACAACTCTAAAATCATTGGAATGTGTCCAAAACTGTAAGTTACAAAATCAAGAGCTCCAACAAAGTAGAGTCAAATAATCAGTTGTATTTTATGGGTTTCTAACTCTAAAACCTAACATGAAAGAAGCTATCTATAAGTCAACCTATTAGTTTTACTAGGTTAAAAAATTGACGTCTTTGTCACTAAATCAGTAATTTATATTTAGCAAACTGTTGGTGGCCCAATTCAACTATCCACTTCGTCCATTTGGATTTTGAAACAGGCAACAAATTTAACTAAGCGATGAAATGCCTTAATTCTATTAGTAAAGATAGCATATTCTGTAAAGATTGGCGAGCTAGAGTGACAAAATTTGTGAAGACACAAAAACAAATTTTACTGTAGCAAAAACATCTTTTTAACAAATTCTCTCAAGACACATAGCTTACTAAAATAAAAAAATAAGCCACTTAAGTACCAGGAATCGATTTCCCATTTGAAATTTAACCATATAGGAACAAGCTTTGCCATATCGAAGGGAGTGTATAGTTATTTTCTTTCTTACAATATAGCTTTTGAGCTGCATATTTGCTTGGCCTTGGTATTCAGGGTTATGGATTTTTTTTCATTTGTCCATAAGGGAAATAAGTAATCCATAAACGTAGGCAAATCAGTTGTACAACAAGAAGCCACTAAATTATAGAATTAATATTCCTAATTAGTAATCATAAACTTATTACTGATTTGTTTAATTAAAACAATTGTTTTCTTGATCCTTTGGGTTATTTATGATAAGTAATTGTTTTTTGTAGTCTAACCCAACATTATTGTGTTCCAGGACCATATTCGACCTGATGGTCAAGTTCCATGGCTCTCCTCATATTAGCAGTGTCAATCTAATGGCTTGTATGGGATCCCTCACCCTCATAGCCAAGATGAGGCCTCAGTTCATGGGTAAAGTCGTGGCAGCCTTGGAGACTTTGCATAGTAAGTTTAATTTTACTTAACACTATCTACAGTATTTTTATTTTATTCAACCAACAAACAAACAATTTAAAAGATTCAAGCAAACACTAAAAATATAAACTATTATTAACTAAGGATTATACATGATATAACAATTTGTTGAAATTTATGTTTCATCCCATTAACAAGAATACAAGTTTAACAAGAAATCAGTAAGAAGAGGAGAAGATTGATAAGTATTGAAAATAATTTAAAAATAAATAATATTCAAGACTTATCAAAGCAAAAATTACAAATATTGATCAATAAGGGTAAGAGTAGCTCAGCGAGAGAGAGCAAAAACTATCGCAAAACAATGAACAATATAACCATACTTACTTACCTTACCTCCTTGGCCACTCAAACCTAAGAAGGTTTTTGGCCTCGCCAACAAGTTGCCTCCACTGCTGCCGGTCTGCCGCCAAGTCAAGAGATGCCCCCACTCTGCGTAGGTCCTTCTGGACTTGGTCTCTCCATCTCAACTTTGGTCTACCTAGCAGGCGAGTGCCTCGTGGTTGTCCATTGGCGATCTTCTTAAGCATACCATCTTCTTCCCTTCTTTCTACGTATAGCCTGCCCATCTCAGTCGTCTACTCTTCACTATGGCTACAATGTCCGGTTCTTTGTACAGTTCTCGGAGCTCTCGGTTTTTTCTTATTCGCCACATACCTTCTTCATTTATAGGTCCGAAAATCTTCCTCAAAATTTTGTTCTCGAAAATGATAAGTTTGTTTTCATGATTTTTAGTTAATGTCCAGTTTTCCGAACCATATAAAAGGACTGGTTGAATTAAAGTTTTATAGATTCTTAATTTTGTGTTTTTGGATAGTATTTTTGAACTAAATATTTTTGATACGCCCCTTTTTAATATAACCATACTAATGACTAATAATGGTTGATCAGGTCTTTTTCTAACTTAATAAAAAAAATTTTCTCTAACTGTGTAGCAGTCATTTTCTTTCTTATCATTAAACTTTGCCATTGCACTCCTTGTTTTCATTTTTGACGATAATAGGCCAACGTTGTTTAAAATGAAACTTGATGTGTTTTACTATCAGTTGGCACGAACTACACTGATATTAGTTTTGTAACTATAAAATTGTTTTCTTCTGTTATTTGGGTAGTAATTGGTAGACCAATGGCAGATGGCATGGTCCTCATCTGATCCTGCTTGGGATTGTACCAACAATTTTCCGATTTGAAGGATTCCCTGTAACCACTTGTAACATTCCCCCTAAAAATTAGTTTTAGATTAAGCCTACATTGATTTTACTTATTTTTCAATTAGGGTTACAAAGTGATGTCCCGTTCTAAAAGACGTTATGTTTCAGCCAATCTTCCGCCAACTCTGACCAAGTCCCAAGTGAGTTCTGTTCGGAAACATCTAAAGTTGCAGCTGCTGACTCTGCTCAAGCATCCTGCTGCTATGGACTTTCTACAGAACATTACCACGTTGCTGACCGACCTGGGCGCTACTTATCATGAGGTTAGTATTCTACTTCTGTGAGGTTTGTAAGCTTGTCGCTTACTAGCATACTTTTAATTTAGAGGTGGGCCGATACCGATACTCGATACCAAAATACTCTCGATACCAGCGGGATCGAGGTATCGTCGATACTCGATACTTGCCTGTTTTGGGTTCGATACCGATACTGACACTGAATGCGCTGACTAATGAATGAGTTCAGTCAGAGCGCCGAGCGGGTAAATTGCCGTTGCCGTTACGAATCCTAGCTGTTTGCCTACTTAGTTAAATATACTCGCAACTCGAGTCGAGTAGTAGAGGTTAAGCCGATTTCGTTGATATTTGACAAGTAAATAATAAGAAAGGAAAATGTATGAGTTTTATTTAATCCCTTAACCCCTTTCAATATTGACATACTAGGCCTAATAATAATCGGCAATCTAGACATCGCTTGCGTCATCCATTTCACTGACAGCGACAGCTGACACTGGGTGATAGTGAAAGGTAGTGGTGTGCAGCGAGTGCGATGCATTGAAATTTCAATTCGATTCTATAAAGGGATGTGTTGGTTAACGTCATCAATACCACCATCCATTGGTTACCACTTGGACATTGGTATCGGTTCCGTACCAAGACTCGATTGTCAAAAGTCGATTCCGATGACACCGACGCCCGACAGGGATAAATATTTTATTTTAACATTTATTAACTTTATAGCTACAGTATTAGTTTTGTAATCACGGTTAACAATTTTCATAGCCAACTTAGAAACTATCTAGTTCAAAACAGCGACGGTGCCGGTGACATTGTTTAGCTTCAGCTCATTGCACAACACAATCTACATTTCAAGATGTCAGACTCAACTCATGAGACAACCGGCGCGCGAATGTCCTGCCAACATGAAATTAATTATACTAAACAATGTCTGTATCAATAAGTCATCATTTAGATGTAGTTATCAGTCAGATTTTAGATGTTAGTTATCATTTAGTTGTATTATTTTTATTTTTAGTACAAAATAAATAACCTAAACACGTCGAAATGTTCAGTTTCCTCCCTGTATTATACGCATCAATAGAAAAATTATATTCAAATTCAACCATTAAACTTTAACATCGTCATTGTCGTTTGGTTAGGCTTGCTTTATATTGCGCCAAAAAGTAGGTCCATATTTATCTGTACTATCTACCTGATTAAAGAGTTTAGTGAAGTTTTAAGTGCTACTATGACACAATGCATTTATTGAAAAATATCATAAGCCTTAGTCCATGTAGATTTTGTAATGTTATAACGAATGGTGAATGTTGACAATAAAAGTATGTAACAACAGTTCTCATTGGTCAGGAGGCGACAATGCACTACCATGTCAGCCAATCGACTTTCGTGATTCAATGGAGCAAATGACGATTGCTTAGACATCGTTTTATATGCTTATTGTGGTTGGGAAGGGTATCGATAAATATCGTGATTCGAGATCCGATATGTATGTAGAACGTGTTCGTTTATAAATAATGAGTATTAAAGTATAAAAACTGGGTTACAGCTTACAGACAGGTTCAAAACATCGATTGTTCCGATCCATTTTTAACACCCCTCTACGGAAGTTATAGTGACGTCGTGCATAAGGGCCAGGCAGGCCGGTTCACAGTGAATCCACTCTGCCGAACCTATACTCTTGGTATAATCGGGAACATAGTCAAACACTTTTGTTACTAAATAAAACTATGGCATGTTTTATAAAAGCACTCTTAATCAAAATCTTTATTGTAGGCTAAAAGTAAAACTTATCTATTGCCATACTTTTCTCCTGTAAAAATTGACATGTGTGCTGTTTTAACACAGTCATTCCTTGACCACGATCGTTTTTACTCACTATAGAGAAAAGACTCTCCTTACAAAAAGTATTTATAGGCCAAGATGTATTTAGTTTTTTAGTATAACTGCAATTGCTTTTAAAAATAAATACAAAAACTGTCAAATGACTTAGATTAATACTTGTAGGCCTAGGCCTATTTATAAATTAGAGGAAACTTTATTAGATCTCATCATAGTCAAATTCAAACATTTACAGTGTTTTAAAATAATTAACACTCAGAAATGTTTGTGTGATGGAAATCTGCAAGCGACTGACGCAGAGGGTAAAGGAGGGCATGTGAACCAGGCTTTAGAGCAAACTTTCTCTTTTCCTACCCCATGTTCCGTTAGACGGTGGGCGGGGCTTCACACTAAATAAACAATCAGTTCATTCATTCACAGTAGAGAATAGTTTTTGCGGCAGTGACGTATGTCTCTTGTCTGCTCTTCATAGCTCACACGTAGATTTCTTTCGAGAAATTATAAGTGATAATCTTTATTAAAAATAAGTGAAAAACTGTTGACATTTTCAAGGAAGAAAAGTTAAGAAATAAAAGTGTTAAAAATAAAAAGGTTGTTTGATTAGTTATTCTGTATTTCAAAAATATCCTCATTTATGAATGTGTTTTCAGCTAGACTTGGTAACTTTTTCATAGTTAAACAAATTTTGAAGATATATAACTGTTTTTCATACAACTAGTGAGAAACTGACATTATATAGGAAGTTCGTTTTTACTCTCTTAGGGAAAAAACTTACAGAGTATTTGTAGGCCAAGATGTACGTAATTTTTTTAAAATTTATTGCTTAATGAGTTAACTAATTCAATTGATGCAATCTATATAAATAAAATTAGAGTTTTGTCTGTACTTTGCTCAGAATTATATACTTTTAGGTTATTTTTACGTTTTATACATTAAAGAAGCAGAAACGAGTCTTATCCCTATTTCTGTCTGTCTGTCTGTCTGTCTTTCCCTTTGTCTGTAACACTCAAGATGGCATTTTACGCAATCTTCTCCGTGAAAACCAGAGTACCTATCAAGATCCAAGTCATTTTAATGTATTCACTGGATTGGCGAGAGTGTCTTTAGTGATTTAAATATAGCCTCACTACTTTGTAAATAAAATTACGGACGTTCAAAAATGCAGTTTTGTGCGATTTTTGTCGAATTTTCGTTCAATTTTTATCACATAATCGTCTATGAAATAACGAACAGCTGTTCGGATCAAGATTATTTTTTCTAGCTGTCAATGATATGTTTACAAATGTTGTTTACAAATACCGCAACCATTTCGAATCACGCAAATCCCAACCAAGTGAGATTAAAAACGTTTTTCTTACATAATGGATTTAATTAATCGCAAGTGCAATAATATAGTCTAATAGTGTAACCGTAAATGAAATTAAATAGCTAGACATCGTCCAATTCGGAACCAGAAATTCTTTGAGTATAAAATGTTTCTTGAGTTTTGACAACCAGAAAGAAGACCTTGAATCAGTGTTGTATAGGGCTGGGACACTGAAATGATCGTCGCCAATAGCTTACAAAAAAGGTTTCCACTCATTGACGGCGCTTCAATGGCGGTTGTGTAAAGTGTAAAGTAAAAAATCACAACTGCAGTGGGTGATTGTAACAGAGGTTTAACAGAGGAAGCGCTAAACTCGCTTTTCCAATGTGTCACTTTCTGTTTTTACTCACCGTGTGATGCAATCGCTGGACCATACAGCCAATAGGCCCATAGCTCATATCTTGGGTACGTAAACCTACATATTTATTCATAACAACCTTTTTGACGACGATCCTTGATACCGGTACTTTTCCATAGAATACATGGCCTACCTACTTAAGAAATATAATTACAAATGACCAAAACCCCAACATTGTGTGATTTTCGTCACATTTCCTTCTAATGTTAATAGATATACTAATCATTGTTTAGAGAATGCGTAATCTATTAAATAACAAAAAGTTGTTTGGGTAAGGTTGTTTTTTTTTTCAAACTGACACCGATAAGTTTACGCTATAACTTTTTACGAGAAAATCCAAAAGCAAGAGATCAATAACCTCGGGACTAGATATTAATGTATTTAATTGGTCGGATGTACTATAGTTCTTAGGTAGGTTCTTACGTAGGTACTGGTTCTTTTCCTTAGAACCGTTGGTAGCTGCTAGAATCATTTTTACGTAGGTACCAACACATCACTGTAGTTTACAAATTAGTTATCGTTGGTGTTGCACCTTATTTATTAGAGCCGTCCGTATTCAATTTAAGTGATGTCTTAAGAGGCATCCACACCCCTTCTCGTTTTAGAATCGAACAGACAGACAGACAGACATTGGTCGCGCAACAGAGATATAGAAAATAGTGCGGCAGAGCACAGCGCAAGAGTGACGTGTCGGCCAACCCTCCTCCCCCCCAACCCTCCACCGTCATGGCTCTCTCTCTCTCTCTCTTTCTCACTCCCTCTCTCTCGCACACAACACAACACACTCGTCTACTGTACTACTGAGCTCTGCTAGCTAGTGCCACTGTCCTCCATGCCCTGCGTCCACACTAGGCCTACATTACATCTTTTTCTGTCTTTATTTAATCCTGCAACCACGCACGTGTTTTTCCTTGAAGTAACATTCTAAAACAGACTGGAAAAAATCTATTTTTTTACCTTGCGATGCTAATTCCCACCACAGTAGTATCCAAATAAAAACGAACTAGCATGCGAGGTAAAACACAATGTTTGTTTAAAAAGTGTAAAAATGGGGAATTAAAAATTTCAGCAATACAGTTCTGTAAAAAACAACTTTAATTATGTATAAACTCAATTATATGATATAGGCCTAATACTTTAAGGCAAAACATGTTTTAGAATAGTGCATAGGTTACATCAGAAATGTTTTCCCACGAAATGTATCCGAATATTACCAGGATGAAAATGCAATAAAACATTATTATAAACACAAACGAACAAATGTATTACATTATGACATGTTGTTTGGACAATAAAGCGTTTAGGTTGCATAATTTATATTTACATAATAAGAAAATGCAATAACATTACATTGTGAACACAAACAAAATACTATATAACAGCACAGTATATAAAAAAATGTGTCGTATACACACAAAAGGACCTTATACTTGAGAAATATATTACATAATTTGTTTCATA